ATCCGCCCATGTGTAATGGAGCCAGGAATTTATATAAAAAATTCAAAAAATTCTATAATATTATAGTTGGAATTTAATCTTGTAACTTACTGCAACTTTTGAACCCCTTTTATATTACGCCAGAATTTTCTGTTAGGTTAGGGAGAATCAGCAATTTATATAATTAAAAACTATTAATGTTTCCATTATTAGCACAATATATTCATTGCGGAGGGGGTTCAGTTCCAGCCTTTACTCAATCTATAAATTAAAGTTCTTAACATTGAACATGTTAGACTTTTAAAATTATAGATTTCGAATATAATATTAGAAAAATAATTTAATGACTTTGGTATAGTAAAATAAAAATGGAGTGACCATGAAACTGTTGATAACATGGTCACTGAAAAAAAAAACTAAGAATTAAAGTATATATTATCATTTCCGCTTAAATTCAATATCGTTACCCTCTTCAATTCTTTAATTAATTCCTAATTTTATTGCTATCGGTGATGTAATTCCAATTATTCGCAAAATAGTTAAAAAAAATTGCTATTCTTTTTCTCGTGAGACTGGGAAATTTTTTATTTTCCTAGAAATGTTCAAAGTAAAAGTAATAGAGTCGAAGTGTTTTTCCAGTAATTAATAAAACAGTACGAAAAGCTTAATGCGGTGAGCGTGGATCGAACACGCGACCTTCAGATCTTCAGTCTGACGCTCTCCCAACTGAGCTATCCCCGCAAATTAATCAAATGCACCAGCCGGGAATCGAACCCGGGTCTGTACCGTGGCAGGGTACTATTCTACCACTAGACCACTGGTGCTGCTTGTTTATTCACTAAATATTTAACTATTAGTTTGTGTCACTGGTATTTTACTCTAACAATTGAAAGATGAAGTTTCTTTTGACAAGTTTGTGATTCAATATGTGATTACACTATTGACACATATAAAAGTAAGCCAACAAGTAATCAAAAAATTTCATTTTCTTATGGAATATAAATGTGTAAAAACACATCAACAATGAGTAGAGTGTACGCAAACCTTAACCCATATGAGATACAAAGGCTGCTTCCGATAGACCCTCGGTGTAAGAAAAGCATGAATGTGTAAAAACACATATTAACCGTAAAAGTTAATACAAAAAAGAATGGTATGTCCTGCATTTGTAGCTGCCAATTTGACTATGTTCATGTTGACCTGATGATCTCCTAATTCTATAAGAATAATACAACAATTCCTCAAACAAACTGTACATTTACCTACTTGTGCTTTTACAAGAAAAATCTATCTACTCTTTATATGCTTATCTACCTTGTTCCTAAACTATATATAGAGAGAGAGAGAGAAAATTAAATGTTCTTCACATTCCTCGAGCCTGAGCTTGACCTGCTCTCGCCTTCTCCAGCCTCGCTCGCCGTGTAGCTTCCTGGATCTGACGATCATGGTCTTTAAGCATTTGATCTACTTTACTTGATTGAGCTAGTAGTGAACCAGAAAAATAGATCTTGTTTCCCTCGTAACCATGGTCGTTCTACACAAAGAAACAAGAGCTAGATAAGTAATCGATCATACGAGATACCCATTCTCACTAACAACCACAGGAATGTAGCAAATTAAAACAGCAAGCATGCTATTACTGACTGCACACAACATTTTGATTAGACGAGAGTTTACTGGCCTTCGAGTAAAAGTAGTAGTGATGATACGAGGGAAGCAAGGTGCAGGGCCGGAGAAGGGCCGCACCCTTGACTCAAGGGGTATGATGTTAGCAGCCTACCATGATGCAAGCATCAGTGGCTGACCCCACGACTTGAACTCGTGACCTTAGGTCACACGAGATAACTTTATCGCTGCTAGCTCCCTTTCGAGTGATGATACGAGGAACAACAAAATAAGACATCTTTGTTCAATAGCTAAAGAAGTTCTATAAGACCGCGAATTGACACAACGAATGAATATAACCGACCCCAACTTATTTGAAACTGAGGTGTGAATAATTGATTGATTGAGCTAAAGAAGTTTTGAGTATACTTGAGAGTTCGAAGTTTCAGTAGTGACTACACAGTACCTCAGTTCTCTCCGAGCACTCAAACCCTTAGATATACGTGTTTATGAGAACTTACTAGATTTGCCTCCTTCGAACTGGTCCTTCCACTTTCAAATTGATGAGAACTGGTATAGTTCTGCGTGAGATACTTCCCGTCCTGCTTCCTGGAATGTTCATCTAGCAGCCGCACTCGCCTGTCTACTTGACGGGCTGTATCGTGAGCATCTCCAGACACAACGGACCTGGATGCTGCAAAGTTTGATAGGTCGGCTCTATTCAGACCAATAGAAATATCATCATATTTCGTCCCAGATTTTGCGCCCCCAACCCCTAGAGCCAGAGGGACTGAATGAGAAAATGTCTCCGAGAGATCCTCGTTGGCTGAAAATCTCTCTGAAAGGTTCTCGAGGTGATTGTTGACAGTTTCTTTCACTGCTTGTGATGCTTTAGGTGGATCATTTCGAAAGCCAGAAGCAGCTACCTTCTGGGGATTGAACCGATCACTTTGGCTCTTAGGATTGGAACTGCTCTGCTTCCCCTGCTATAAGGAGCAAATCATAACCTCAAGTTAACCAAACCAATTGAGAACTTAAAGAAAAAACACAAGCGCAGATATATGGTATGGGTGCAGATTGACTTATTTCTGAAGCAAAGGTCAGTAAGATACAAGGGTAATCAGATATGGACTGCCCCGTAATATTTAGTGGTTGAGATCTTTTTTATTCATTTTGAGTTTTTACATAAATTTAAACCTGCTCAAAGCTCAAAAGTCACAATAATATCTCAATTTCCTTCACATTATACTACACTAATGCTCCACCAGGAAGGAAAAAGAAAACAAATCATATGCCCGCCGATAGCTACCACAAGTTTCCAATCTTTCGCGGAAATACAACTAATTTGTCAACAATTCAATTTTCAATGCATTCCAATTTCCAAGAGGAAAATTTGAAGAATCATGATTATCTAGCTTCCCGTATTGTTAGCCTCTGGCCTTAAAAAAAGGAAACTCGAATTAATTTGAACACAAATATAAACACCCATAAAAAATTACCTGCATTGACCTTGCCAACTTGGCATTAGCATCATCTGCTGGAGCTGCTTGACGTTCTTTTGATCCATTTGCATTGGCTTGCCTGCAGTAATTATTTCAGACGACTATTATGATATATACTTAGGATATTTGAAGTCCGAAAAATAAATTTTAGGTTATAAATTTTTTTTTAATTTAAGAAACGACAGAACTGTATAAGCCAAATACTGTCATTTAATGCAAACATCTATTTCGTTATGTTAGATTCATTTAAGCATTTAACCATATTCCAAGATAATGTTTATGTATAGAATTGCAAACATGTTTTAAGATGAGAAATACCATTTTTATGAAAAAAGAGACATGCTTTCAAGTTAGCCATACAAAAGATGGATTTTGTTAAGAGCATTTACCTTTTAGCTTCCTCTTCCCGCAATTTGGCATCAATTTCCTTGCTGGGAGGATATGTCGGCAAAGTTAAAGGATCACAAGCAAATGGCTTTGTGGTGAAGAACTGTAAGAACAGGGAATACCTTATTGTTAAAAAGGAAAACAGTTGTTGCTACTTTATGATGCGATAAATGATGGAAACACATTGTAGGAACAGTATAAATACGGCTACTTAGAAATACACTTAAAAATTCAGATCTGAACAGTGGTTGATTGTGTTCTTCAGTAAGCATGTCTTACACAAAATCAAGAATAAGATGAATAGTTTTAAAAAAAATGATGAATAGTTTCTCCGACGTCATTACGATAGGTTATTCAGTCTCATTTATCAAAAAAGGAGGGGGGGGGGGGGGGGGGGGGGGAGAGAACAGCAGCAACAACAAGGTTAGTCAATGTCAATCTCATCTTCCTAATGTAGGAAACTGTCTCATACTAGGGCAGCCCGGTGCAGAAGGAATCCCGCGTTCACGTAGGGTCCGGGGAAGGGCCACACCTCAGGGGGTGTGATGTAGATAGCCTACCCTAATACAAGCATTAGTGGCTGCTTCCACGGCTCGAACCCGTAACCTATAGGTCACACAAAGACAACTTTACCGTTGCTCCAAGGCTCCCCTTCGTGAAACTGTCTCATATTGCTTCTTAAATAAAGATTCCCCTTTCCCTGTCTGCTTCTTTCTTGTTGCCACTCACCCTGGCACTTGTGTGGTTACTTTGGAATAAAAACAGGACAACATTTGAAAAGGCGAACCAAGACTTTGTACATCTCATGGCATGTCCTATTTGTGCTTAATATTACTGTACCAATGAGATTATTGTTAGGGTAGATGAATGAGTGTTTCTTGTAAAGATTCATACATATGTTATATTCTCTACTTTTTGGTATAGTTATTGTGTACAGAATTCTCCCCCACAGCATCAATAATATTTTACTTTACTTTATAAAAAGATGGTTCTTTTAGGTCTCAGTACCCTTCTTTTGAAGTCTTGTTAGTTCCAATCCAACATTTTTTTTTTCCAGAAAATCAATGGCCACTTAGAACTCCCTTTATCAAAAAGCATAACCTACTTTGACTAGAACGGATATTAAGACTAAAGTTTGAATATATTGTTATACCATATTAAAAGTATTTAACATAATAGTTTGAAAAGTGATAAAATAGGAGTAGTTAGTTGAAAAATGTCACATCAAGTTTAAAATAGTAGTATTGGTAAATTTGAATTGTTGGAAGGAAATTTTAAATGGAGAAAAAGGAAAATAGTTCGAGTACTAGTAAATGACAACAGCTACCAGGCTTCAATAACAACATGAAATATGTAACATAAAGTAAATACGTTACAAAAAGTACAAACATTTTAGCATTGAAAGAAAGGATCTTGAATGACAACTCTTCAAAGCACCAACTTTTGGATGGAAAAAAGGCGGGGTGGGGTTCAGGGACAGAGCTAGAAGCCTGAATGCAGAACCCAGTAGCTTTTGCTCAAATACTGTATTTGTTACGAAATTCATTAAATATGTACAAATATTAAATTTAAAACTCAGTTAGTAGCTCTTAAATGATAGTTCTAAAAATCCAAAACCCATTAAGTTAAAATCCCGGCTCCGCCTCTAGTGGGGTTGCAGGAGTTAGAAAAGTACCTCACTCTCAAGAGCGCCAGCTGCTGTTCCTCTAAGTGAAGGATCGATAGAAAGTAATGTCTCTAGTAACCCAACAGCAGATGGAGGAAGCACCTTAAATCTTTCCCCAATACGCCGTTTGTAAGGCTGTACAGGTTTAAATACTGCTGAATAAGATAGTTTTGTTTTTTCCCAATAATCCGCAGTTGGTGAACCACAAAGCTTAAAGATTTTATGTAGTTGCTCCACCTACAACGACGGAAATTTAACTCATTCATGTTAAATCTCTGTAACTAATAATATCATAATTAAGGAGAAAAATACATTTGCGATTGAAGCGTAGTTGATTGATAGGTCGATTGACTATAGAGTCACAAAAAGTGTTAGAACTATATACCTCTGTCCTACCGGGCATTATAGGCTTGGCGACATATAATTCTCCAAGTATACAGCCAGTACTCCACAAGTCTACTGCAGCTCCATAATGACTCGCTCCAAGTAATAGCTCTGGCGGTCGATACCAAAGAGTCACAACACGGCTTGTTAATGGAACACTTTGCTGGTTATCGAAAAAGTTCGCCAACCCAAAATCAGCAATCTTTAAAGCGCCATTGTTGTCAATGAGAAGATTAGAACCCTTGATATCCCGATGCAGAACACCCCGATTATGGCAATGATCAAGTCCACTTAAAAGCTGCCGCATGTAACATTTAACCTATAAAAAACAAAATAAGATTAAAATTTAGTTGTTAAAATTGAATTGTGGAGCATGAACGAAGCAATTATCATATTAAAAAATAAGGTTTAAAGTCCAACAAATAATCCATAGAAAAGCACCTGCGGCTCTGTAAATTTAATACCGGGAACAGACGCCAATCCAGTTAGATCATGTTCCATGTACTCGAAGACAAGGTACAGACTACAAGATGCTCTTGATACAACTAAACCTTCCAATTTGATGATATTTGGATGATCAAGCCTCCGCAGAATAACAATCTCCCTTGCCATAAATTTGATACTTTCAGGATCCATTTTATCGAACCTCACTCTTTTGAGCGCAACGACTTTATCATTAACTAGGTCACGAGCCTTGTATACACTACTATAAGTTCCTTGGCCAATCTACAAGAATAAGATGCTATCACACAATCAAAAAACTACTGATTAACAATCTATGAAGTATAATTATTAATTAACAACTTTCATGATAGTTATAGTAATAGGAACCTATGAACTACAGAACTAGTATGTTAAGAACTACAATACTAGTATGTTCTAGAGTCAATTTGATTGTAGACCATATAAACTATTCATTAGAAATTAAGTGTATGATTATTAGACAATTTAATGAGTTTATCCCATATAATATCTGTTAAAGAATAATGTTCAAATACATTACAGTGATTCATTCTTATATGTTGTCATTTTAAACTCTAGACTTCTATGCATTTATTGATCTTTAAGAGAAAAAATAGAAAGTAGATTTTAAAACTTTGCTAATGGCAGCGGGTATTTTGTCCCGATAGTATAACGGAGGTTAAATGTAGACAATATTCAAAAGTAGAGGAGTAAATTTGACCCTTTTCCCTTAAGTAAATGATATTCTGTATTTTTGAAGAGCGTTGTCGTCATGTCGTGCATCATGAAATCTTCAAGGTCAGTGTGTATTCCTCATAATTCAATTGTAAGAGGATATTACCAAGATTATTACTGGCATAGAGCATACATGGCATTTATCCAAAATGGAACTATTCAAGGAAAAATAATTTGATGGAATTAAGAAATGTCACTCATGAGGAAACTAATACCTTTTTTCATGTGCTTATATTGGTATTAGAATAGATAGCAAATGCACAAGATTTAGTTGTTGTGCAATGTAATTGACATAAAAAAACTCGTCATAGAACAAGCAAACCGAATTATACCTTGTCTAATTTCTCGAAAGTATCAGCCTTGCGTGGAAGCCATCCGTTAATAGCTTCACCGGCCACAGAAGCAAGCGAAGAAGGCCATCCGGCAGCAATCAACTCCGCCTCCGTGGCTTTCGGGACAACTCCATATCCTGCAAAACTATTCACAGAAACTTCAAGCTTTTGTTTTATTTTCACATAATGATCGTCCCCGACCCTTTTAGATCCATTACCTTTCCTACCGAAAGAACCAACCTCAGCATCCCCACTTTCCAACTTCTCTTTCACCCTGAAACTTTCTCTTCTCTTTGACACCACAGTTGATGCCCCTTTAGCTAATTCTCTCGTCTTTTGGCCGTCTCGCCTATCTTTGAAAGCCCGAGAAGCTTTCCCACAAACACAACCCATAATCAACAAACCTAAAGACCTACTCAAAGAGTTGTCCCAAATCCTCTAAAGTTGTAAGCTACTGCTCCACAAAAGCCAGGTGCGGATGTCGAGTTCAACCTATGGTTTCATCCGAACCCAATAGCTTTGGCTCCGACCCTGTATAAATGTCAAAAACTTCACTAAATAAGTACAAAATAATTGTTCTCGAACCCATAAAGTTCAAATCTCGTATCCGCCTCAAAACAAGGCTTAGCAAAAAACCATATTTTCCAAAAGAACCATTGAACAAATGCTTAAACAATCTCAACACAAGCAATAAAATCTCAAACAGAATTGTCTGGAATAACAACAACTCAAGATTCCAATTCAAAAGAGGGGCAGCCGGTGCACTAAGCTCCCGGTATGCGGGGTTCCGGGGAAGGGTCGGACCACAAGGGTCTATTGTATGCCGCCTTATCCTGCATTTCCGCAAAATGCTATTTCCACCGCTCGAACTCGTGACCTCCTGGTCACATGACAGCGACTTTATCAGTTACGCCAAGGGCTCCCCAAGATTCCAATTCAAAGCTATCAAATATAGAACTTAAAAAAGAACCACTTATATGAAATACCCAAAACTGGAATCATATAAACTGCATAGAGGAACTAGCTATAACACCAAAAAGATCCCAACTTTTCACACAATTCAATAATACAAGTGAAATCAAGATTTCATTAATACCTTGTTTGGACCTCAATAATAATAAACCCCAAAAATTTCAAAGGCTTGATCTTCACAATTCTTTCAAAAGCTACTCAGAAAACACAAGTAAAAAAGGGTATTTGATTTTGAGTGAAAGAATTTGCTTCGTTACTTTTTGAGTACTGCTCAACGCGTAACTGAATTGAAGATTCATATGAAAGCATTCAACTTAAAATATAGACAAAAGAAAAGATAAAAAATTATTCAAAAGATAAATAAAGAGAGGAAAAAAAAAAAAAAAAAAAGAGGAGTCGCCATAAAGTTCAGTCAGACAAGATATGCTGAAGGCACTCGCTCTCTCTCTCTCTCACACACACACACACAGTAAAAAAGAGGCATAAGGGGTCGTTGATTCGACAGTTTGGGATAGTACCACTGCTTTTAGTTTCTGAGACAATATTTTACAGTATTTTTTCAATCACATTACTCCCTCTAATCCATAATAAGTGACTATTTTATCTTTTTATTTTGGTCCAAAATAAGTGTCTATTTATATAATCAAGAAGAAATTAATTTTATTTTTCTAAAATTTACCCTTATTTACATATTTCGATGTGTTAAGATAATAATTAATTAAGATTAATTTTGTAAATACATCTTTTTTCTCTAGAAGTTCTATTTCCTTAATATGTGGCAAAGGTAAAATGGTCACTTATTGTGGACATGAAAGAGTATTTTACTATAAACAGTCGTAAGCCCGTTTGGACATAAAAAAGATTTCCCTTTTTTCGAAAAAAATTTCACTTTATTTCGAAATCGGCGTTTGTTCATAAAATTTTCAATTTTCACTTGAAGATGCATTTTGGAAATTCTCGAAAATTTAAAAAACTCCAAAAAACTGTTTTTCAAAATTTCTACTCAAATCACTCACAAAACTTCAAAACAACCCAAAATTATATTCATGTCCAAACACAACTCTAAATTTCAAAAACCATTTTCACTTTAAAAAAAATTCACCTTTTTTGGGGAATTTTACTATTCTTATGTCCAAACGCCCACGTAGTTTGAACCAAACACGACTTTCGAAAGAATGTTTTTGTACTGTCGACCAAACAGAAAAAGAAAAAACAAAGGAAACCAAACTTAAGAAATGTCAAATTAATTAAAAGAAACATACATGTATGTAACTGTCCGAAGTAGATAAAATTTGAAAAATTTAAGAAAGGTCTTTGAAATTATCCCTATTTTAATTGATATATAACTAATAAGTACCAGCTTTGACTATTTTTCTCTATCCAGAAAGTAATTGACGTCTACTATTCATCATTGTATTTCTCAGTATTAAAAGAATTATTATTTTGATTATTCGGAGAGTGTTTTGAATAAAGTTTTCAGCTAAGAAATTTATGGGCTAGATATTACTTGACATTCTTAGGCCTTTTTGTTACTAATTGAAGTGAATTGATAGAGGTTTTACGTGGATAATGTTTTTATGTGGGTTTTTTTTTTTTTTTTGTGTAGGTGAAGACAAGATGAATATAGAATTAGCGACCGCGCAACTGATGGTGTCAGCGCGGCATAGAGGGTAGGAGAAGATACAGCGTTGGGCTAGATTATGCACGTCCAGATGCGCGTCTATGGTCCAGGTGCGCAATAGCGCATGTCCCCCCTACGAGAAACTCAAGTTAGAGCTATTTTGTAATTTTCTAGGTGTTACCCCTAAACTATATAAGGCTTAAGCTCGTCTCAAACTGGGTATCTTGGAGTTTCGAAAATACTTTTAATGTGAGGAGGACAAGGGAAACAAAGGGGACTTGAACATTCCATCCGAATCGATTCAATACAAAAGTTTGATTGATTTCTTGGGTTGTAATGTCTTCCTGCTTTCTTAATACCCTTGTGATGAACATATTCTCCATTGAATATGGAAGTCTTTCTTAGGATTTTTGAGAATTATGATGTCGGTTAATGTTATTTAAGAATTTAACTCTTGTTTTTTTTTTTTTTTTTGAGAATAGGGATAATATTGCATTAATACTGATGTGTGGCAATAATTCATGGTTTAGCACATTATGTGCCTTGCATTTTACATGCTTTAATGATAAATTACACTTTATTTGCGCGTCATGGAATCTATTTTATGTGTAGGTGAATTGGAGATGAAAGTAGAGCAAAAGGGATACTTAAACGTTGAAAGTGTGCTCGAGAACAGTGAAAAGGAGAGGCCAGCTCAACCAGGCTTTAGCCTGGCGAGACCAGCCAAAGGCCAGGTTGAACCGGGCTTTAGCCTGGCGAGGCCAGCCAAAGGCCAGGCTGAACCAGGCTTTAGCCTGGCGAGGCCAGCCAAAGGCCAGGCTGAGGCTGGCGTTAGGCTAGCGACGCCAGGCCTGGGGCCAGGTCCAGTCCGAGTTTTGAAGACTTAATTCGTCTCCTGGTTTGACTAGGACTTGGCCTACACGTTTAGGTCTTTTCCTACACATATAAATAGACCTAAAAACGTCACTTTTGACAGACTTCAGACAGACGAGAGATTGAGTTTGGACACTTTAGACCTAAGGAGGCTAAGGAGACCGAAGATTCGACTTAAGGAGGCAAGAACACACTAGGAGCAAGGCGGAGAATTCTTCTACGAGTTTTTCACTTCCTTCTTCCTATTTTCATTATTGGTTATGAATTCTAGTATTGTAGTTATGCATATTATTGTGAATAGCTAATTTGTTATATATGGTTTTGATGGAACCTTTTGGAGGATGATTTTCCTGTTACGTTAATATAGTTTTACCGTAGTATTTTCTCTATTTGTTCAACTACGTTATTATTGTGGTTGGTTAAAGAGCTCTCAATCGACTCTGCCTATTTAGTCTGTATTACTCGAGAGAGAGTGCATATTTAGGTAGTTGTTGAACAGCATCACTCCTAACGTATATGAGGGATCAATATGGAGGGTTTAAAGGTGGATTAGGGATAACGAAAGCTTGGTGCGATCCGAGTCAGCCGTACTTAATGCCAGCTAGAGTAATTCGGGAGAATATATCTAGTAAATTGTGGTAATTACTCGGGAGAGAGTTACGACAGTCAGAATGCTCATGATCGGTAGAGAAAACTTAGGCAAATTATAGAAAACGTAGCGGAAAGGATTCCGACAATAGGGGAAATCATAACTCTAGACCTCCTCAATCGTTTCTCCAATTTGTAGTATCTTTAGTTGTTAATCTACTACTTTAATTATTTAGTTATTCTTAATATTTATATATTAGGAATTGTTCGAGCTTATCTTCTTAGTGATAGTCAACAACTGTAGCTAAGCTTTAGTTCTCTGTAGGATTCGACTCCGGACTTGTAAACCGGATTATATTTGCAAGGACCGCTTAGTCCTTTTTATAAGGCATAGTTGGGCATGATCAAATTTTGGCGCCATTGTCGGTGACGTAACAGTGTAACTGTAGGTGTACATATTGCTAGGTTTCAAGTTCGAACTGTTATTTTCATTTTTTGTATTTGATTTTATTTAGTTTTGTTTTATTTGTAGATTTTAAAAACATGGCATCTTGGAATTATGAGAGTTTTGATGTTGGTAATTCTACTTTTAATCCTCCTCATGCATATTGTGAAGGAAACCACCCAGTGCAAAATTGTCAAAATATTTTCAAGAGCGAGTTGTGTGCACCAACTCAATCTTATGTGTGGAACATGTGTGATATGTGTGGTGGTCAAGATGGTCACTTTCTTGGTTGTGCTTATAATTCTTATCTTCCCCCAACCCCTTACTTTGATGGTTCTTCTTTTTCTTTTGAGGATAACAGGAATAAAGAACCTAGGGAAGCTGACCTAAAGGAGATCAAAGATATGTTAAAGTGCCATGTGGAACAATATAATGAGAAACCACAGCAGATACAAAGGCAAGAGGCAACTATTCACCACTTGGAGGCTCAAGCGAATAAACTAATTAAACCTTGTAAAGCGCAACAAGTTTACATTGTGGATAGTAGTCAAGAAGAGCATGAATTGGCTACAGAAATTGCCATTATACTGGAGGATTTAAAAAAATATGAGGAGATGCTAGTGGAGAAGGCCAGAGTAGAACACCAACAATCAATCGAACTAGATTTTGAGGATTCCAATGTTGTAGAAGAGATACTAGAGTCAACCAAGGACATTGAGGATACATATTTAGTTGACTCTAGTGTCATTGATACTAAGGATGTTGACAATCCCAATGTTCATGTAGTTGAGCGCATTGGTCCACACTCCAAGCATTTTTCCACATTGTGTTTGAATGATGATATGGAAATAGAGTCGTCCGAGCCACTTGATAAGTCAAGGGATGAGGAACAAGGTGCCTACATTCTGGAATTTTTCTTGCCAGAAAATCAGGATTACACACCTCGAGTAAAGGCCAAGAAGTGCAGAATGCTACATTGGTTGTTTGGGCTAGTTAGATTTGTTCCTCCACCCCTGGAGCATAGCCAAAAACTTAATGCCAAATTGGGGGTCCAATTCATAAGTTCAAAGTGAAGGCAGAAAGTGATTCGCGTCGTGCCACGAAATTAAATCAAGCGCTTGTTGGGAGGCAACCTAGCTTTACTGCTTTATTTTATTTTATTTTTATTATAGATTTTTTTAAATTAGATTATTTTTGTAGTGTCGATTTTTGATTTTCTAGGAGCATGGAAAGCAAAGCTATTGGAAGGATGCAATAGCAAACCAGTGGGTGGAACTAAGTGTGAGGTACCCGCACGAAGGACCAGACCTGGGAGAAGTCTGAGTACCCCATGAGCTGCTAGTGCTTCGGCCTTTGGCCTACCAGGGAGTTTCTTTTACCCTCTTATTAGTATGATGTGCATTGGGGACAATGCACAATTTTAAGTGTGGGGTAAGGAGATTGTCTGGGTGACTTTCTATGCTACTTTAGCTGTGTTAGTTTAATTGAATAACGTTTTTTTTTTTAAAAAAAAAAGAAAAAGATTGGACTTTTCCCGACAATGGATCTATTAGACAATTTTCTTGAGGGATCTAAGTCTAAAGAAAAAAAGGACAAAAAGATTTTCTTTGTAGGTAGTGTAGTAATTGCCCCTTGGTTTTTCTTTGTGCCGTGGTTCTTTTCCAAGGGTTTTGTTTGAACCGGGTGTAGTTAGTTTTATTTTTTTTAGGAGTAGGAGCTAGTGTGAGATGAATTGAATTGCAGCGATATCTCTTAACTTTGTTATGCCTTGAGAATAGTGAGTACTTTGGTTGTGACGCTTAGGCTCAGTTTTTGACTCTTGAAGAAGTACCTTAAATCGTATGATCTTAAATTTGCTTAACTGCTTTGACTAGAGTGTCGTGATAAAACCAATCCTGAGTGAGTTATGTGCCATGTCTGTGTGAG